GATGCCCTTGCTGATATCGAGCACGCTGTCATCGAGGTCGATCTCCGCACCCAGTTCCTCCATGGCCTCGACAAGCGCCTTGACACCATCTGTGTTGTCCTCGGCGATCAGGAGATCCCCTTCGACACTGTCCTCTCCCGTGTCATCCTCGCCGAAGAATCCCAGGCTCAGCACGCCGTCGAGGAGAGCGCCCTGGCGTTCGCTCTCTCCGGCGGTGACCGCGGCCAGAGCAGCGGCTCCGGCTCAGGCGCGCGCGGCTCGGGCGTCCGCGCCGGTGAGCGCCTACCCGACCGCTCCCAGGGTCCTCCTCAGCAGCAACCTCCCAACCCTGGCCGCGGTGACCGTGCCTCCGATGGCGGTGGACGTGGTCGCAGCCGTGGCCATGGCCGTGGCGACAACCATGGCCGGGGCTAGCCCTCTCAGCTCCCGCTGCCCCCCTTCACCGGCTACTTCGCGCCCTACGGCATGGCGCTTCCCTCTCCACGATCGGGTTGGGTGCCACCGAACACCTCTGGTGTCCTCGGTCCGCGCCCCGGCTCCCACGCTCACGCCTACCCCGTGTATCAGGCCGCTCCTCCTCCACCACCAGCGGTGTACCGGCAGCAGCCGCCATCTTGGGAACATCTCGCCATGCTCAACGCCGCCTACAGCAACGGCGGGTTCCCCTCCAACCCCGCCCCGGAGTGGTACCTCGATAGTGGCGCGTCCTCTTAACAGGCAACCAAGGTAACTTGACTAAGTTTAGTTCTTCGTTACAGCATGTTCCATCTCGCATAGTCGTTGGCAATGGTCATCACTTACCTGTCACAACCACTGGTTCCACCACTCTCTCTCCCTCTGACTTTCGTCTCACTGATATACTCGTTTCACCACATGTCGTCACTAGCCTCATTTCTGATCGCCGCTTTACTAAAGATAACTCTTGTTCTATTGAGTTTTACCCCTATGGTTTTCTTGTGAACGATCTTCGCACCCGGAGGGTTCTCATGATCTCTGTTAGCCATGGCGATCTGTACCCCTTCATTGGCAATAAACCGACCCCGGCGTCTACTCTTCTCGCCGCCACCTCTTCACCGGATTTGTGGCATCGTCGCCTTGGGCATCCCAGTGCCCAAACCCTAGCTACCTTGTCTAAGGATTTTCTCCATGATTGTAATAAGCCCACTCACACGCCCTGTAGTGCGTGTCAGCTCGGTTGGCAACCTCGCCTCCCCTTCTCCTCTTCCACTAGTAAAACCTATGCACCGTTCGATTTGATTCATTGTGATCTGTGGACATCTCCGGTTGTAAGTTTTTTGGGCTTTCAATACTATTTGGTTGTTTTAAATGACTTCACCCACTACCCCTGGACATTTCCAATGCGTGCCAAGTCGGACACCTCAACCATACTACAACATTTTTTCACATACATTCACACCCAATTCAATGTAATCATCAAAGCAATGCAGTGTGACAATGCCAGCGAGTTCATCAACAATTCCCTTCTCTCCTTCTTCTCTTCCAACGGTGTCGTCTTCCGCTTCTCGTGCCCACATACATCACCTCAAAATGGAAAGGCCGAGCGCCTCATACGCACCACCAACGACATCGTTCGTACCCTCCTCCAACAAGTCAATCTCACACCACCCTTCTGGGTGGAAGCCCTACACACTTCCACTTACCTCCTCAACCGACGACCATCCTGTGCCATCCACCCCCACACACCTTACTTCCTTCTTTTTGGCTCCCAACCCACGTACGATCACCTATGTGTTTTTGGATGCTTGTGTTTTTCCAACGCCTACTCCACCATGACCCACAAGCTCTCCCCTCCCTCCTCTCGGTGCGTCTTCTTAGGCTACCCTCTCGAGCACAAGGGGTACCGATGTTACGATCTCAACTCTCGCCGGGTTATCGTTTTCCGGCACGTCACATCTGATGAAACCATATTCGCATATGTATCGCCCACACCCTGGCCCTCATCTACCCCAGCCACAATGAATCCCGCCCCCTGATTCGGCCGCCCGCGGATCTCTCGGATCATGCGCTCACACCTACCTCGGATGGGCCTAGCGCGTCCCCAGGATCCCCTGTCACCACCTCTGGGTCCCACCATCCCACTTCCGCGACCGCGTCGTCCACGCGTTCGCCAATGATCGGCTCGCCCGGCTCTCACGGATCCCACGCCCGATCGCCCTCGACCGCCCCACCCACCTCCCCCGGCTTCGACCAATCAGGTCCTCCCTCGCCCCCCGCGCCTGCTCCGTCTGGCCCGCGATCCACCTCACGGTCCACATCTGTCGGCCCTGCTTCCTTGGTCGGCCTACCCCATGTATCCGCCTCGCAGTCTGCGCCCTCCACTCCCCCTCCGCCACGTCTTCCGCGCCATGCAGCCCGGATCGAACCCCCACGTAACGCTCACCGCATGTCCACTCGTGCCCAAATTGGCTACTGTATGCCCTGGCATCTTTTTCTCGCTCATTCCACCTCTCCATCCCCCTCACCCATACCCGCAACGTACAATCTACCCTTAAAGACCCCAATTGGCTCCACGCTATGCAAGATGAATTTCATGCTCTAACGACTAACTCTACTTGGTCTTTGGTGCCTAAGCTTGCAGGAGCCAATATTGTCATCGTGGATTTTTTGGCACAAATTTAACGCCGATGGTACTTTGGCCCGTTACAAGGCACGATGGGTTGTCCGGGGTTTCACTCAATGTGAGGGTGTTGATTATGACGAGACGTTCAGTCTAGTGCTTAAACCAGCAACTATTCGAGTGGTTCTCAGTCTGACCACCTCACATTCATGGCCCATCCACCAACTCGATGTCAAAAATGCTTTCCTCCATGGTGCTCTCAAGGAAACGGTCTATTGCTCTCAACCAGCCGGGTTTGTGGATTCCACTCGTCCAGACCATGTGTGTCTCTTACACAAGTCACTATATGGTTTGAAGCAAGCTCCCCGCCAATGGTTCATTCGGTTCAAGACATTTTTGTTGTCGATTGGGTTTTCTGGTTCCAAGAGTGACTCTTCATTGTTCATTCTACACCGTGGCAACTCCATCGCTTACCTCTTGGTCTATGTTGATGATATCATCCTCACTGCCAACAATCCTGCCACGCTCCACGCTATCATCACCTCTCTCAAGTCCGAATTCTCTATGACGGATCTCCGAGAGCTTCATCATTTCCTGGGCATCAACGTAACACCAAACAACTCTGGATTATTCTTGTGACAGCATCAATATGCCCTTGAGATACTTCAGCGTGCCAAGATGCTAAACTTCAAACCAGTATCCACTCCCATCGACACTATCGCTAAGATTTCTCCTGGCGATGGCCACCCTCTGTCCAACCCAACGCTCTATCACAGCCTTGCTGGAGCACTTCAGTACCTTACACTCACATGGCCCGACATCTCCTACGCCGTGCAACAGGTGTGTTTGTTCATGCAAGACTCGCGCGACACCCACATGCATCTGATCAAGCGGATCCTCCGTTACTTGCGTGGTACTTCTCACTATGGCCTTTAGTTCTTCCGGTCATCTTCTTCGGATCTCGTGGCATATACCGACGCGGATTGGACTGGATGCCCGGACACCCGCAAGTCCACGTCCGGTTTCTGTGTTTATCTTGGCTCCAATCTAGTGGCCTGGTCCTCCAATCGGCAGCCAACAGTTTCCCGCTCAAGCACTGAAGCTGAGTACCACGGCATCGCCAATTGTGTTGCTGAATCTTGTTGGCTTCGACAACTTCTCCACGAGCTCAAGTCTTCGCCGCCCCGAGCTACTATTGTCTATTGTGACAACATCAGTGCATCTTACCTGGCCAGCAATCCGGTACAGCACCAACACACGAAGCATATTGAGATCGATCTTCATTTTGTCCGTGACAGGGTGGCTCTGGGCGAAGCCCGTGTCTTGCATGTACCCTCGAGCTCACAGTTTGCTGATCTGTTCACCAAAGGGTTGCCGTCTGCCTTGTTATACGAGTTTCGTTTCAACCTGAACGTCCTACCTAATGGAGTTCGGGTTGAGGGGGGAGTTAAACTGTACCGTGTGTGTGTACTGTAATGTGTGTGTGTACTGTGTAGTTCCATGTATATAGGATCTGTAACGCCCTGGCCTGCGTGCCTATTCTCTTAGGCACCTCTCTCCCTCTCACCTGTATATTAGGCAACCCCATGTAACAGATTCAATTCAAGGACAGAACAATTCTCTCCAACTAAATATCTATCAAACCCACTCTGTATTAAACCGTCAAAGGTGATACTAGATATTGCGAACACATAAGTGAGAATAGGAACATTGGCGTTCCTACTGAAGCCTTTTTCGATGTCATCAATGGCCGAGGCGCTTGGATGGGAGCCACACGTGTTGGGGCAACCCATCCGCTAAGGCCTGAACCAGACAAATCAAAATAAAGATCTAGCTCCATGCACAACCTTGATGAACAATCTACATCAACACATCCTCGATCGGGGCCACCGCGATCGTCGTAAACGTCGTTGAAGAAGGGACGGTATACGTCGCGCCTTGATCTGAAAATGAAATACAACTAGAATCAACCCGACCTATCGAAGGAGCATTTGGATATGTTGAGATATCCTCACGATCCTTGTATAGGCCTCGCTCGCCGTATATTCGCTAGAGTTGGCCACCACCCATCCCGAGAACTGTCGGAGGAGAGCGTCGCCTTTCACCATCACCTTCACCCATCCTCACAATTAACATATATATAACAGTGAAACACCTACAAGACTGCATGTATGCACTTAAGAATGGATAGATAACATTTCAAATGCATCGCAAGGATTGGTCTAGTAGCCGTTATATTTTTTTCGATGATCTAGGTCTATGTAAAAGCTTATTGAGGAAATTGGATAAAAATTTGAATATTAAGCAAACATATTTTTAACATCCTTTATAAACATAATATATCTTATATTATGCAAAAATAAAGTTCTGATTTTTTGATGCATTATATAACTTTTTCGGTGTTGTTTGTTTTCAGAACTGAATGGCGGAGGCTATACTGACCGTGGTGACCAAGATTGGGACAGTGGCTTTAAATAAAGGAGTCACGGCTGTGGTAGAGAAGTTGGCGACAAGGCTTGAAAGTCTGAAGGAATTGCCGGGCAAGATTAAACGAATTGAGAAAGAGTTGAGGATGATGAATAACACAATTCATGATTTCGGTACGATACATCTGAGCAACCATAGGAAGAAGGGTTGGATTGATGATGTGAGGAAGCTGGCCTACCGTGTGGAGGATGTAATTGACAAGTATTCGTATGAGGCCCTCAAGCTCAAGGAAGAGGGCTTCCTAAATAGGTACATGTTCAGAGGTACGCGACATGTAATTGTTTTCGGTAAGATTGCTGATGATGTGACAGAGATAGAGGAGGAGATCAAGCACATAAATGAACTGAAGAAAAGCTGGAGCGACGAACCTACACAAATAGAGCATGCAGAAATTGATCGGACGAGGTCCGGAAGCTGTTTTCCAGAGCTTACTAGTGATGATGATCTTGTGGGAATTGAAGAAAACAGGAGCAAGTTGACTGAATGGCTGACCAGCGATGAGAAAGAGAGCACAGTGATCACAGTTTCCGGTATGGGGGGCCTGGGGAAGACAACCCTTGTGAAGAACGTGTTTGATCGGGAGAAAGCCAACTTCCCTGATTTCAATGCTTGGATCATGGTCTCACAGACATATGATGTGGCTGATCTGCTGGGAACATTGCTCACCAAGATACGACGGCACACGCAGCAGCAGTCTGCGTTGCCTGCTACTGTGGACGGCAAAGCTGATGTCTTTGAGCTAACAGAGGCAATCAACAAGATACTCAAACACAGGAGATTCCTAGTCGTGCTTGATGATGTGTGGAAAACAGATGCATACACTCGGATGCGCAGTGCATTCCAAGGTGTCCAAGGAAGCCGTGTTATCATCTCAACACGGAAGGAAGATGTCGCGGCCCTTGCTCCGGTAAGACGTCGCCTGCTACTCCAGCCATTGGGGGCCGCCGAGTCTTTCAAGCTGTTCTGCTCCAGGACTTTCCGCGAAGACGGCGAGTGCCCTTCGGAGCTCCACACCGTGGCTACAGCCATGGTCGAGAGGTGCCATGGCCTGCCGCTAGCCATTGTGTCCGCCGGCGGCCTGCTATGCACGAAGCAACCAACGGAGCACGCCTGGAACCAGATGTACAAACGCCTACGGAGCGAGCTGCGGGAAACCGACCATGTCCGGGCTATACTTAACCTGAGCTACCATGACTTGCCGGGTGATCTGAGGAACTGCCTCCTGTACTGCAGCCTGTACCCTGAGGACTACCCATTGTCACGGGAGAGCCTCGTGCGGATGTGGGTCGCCGAAGGGTTCGCGACACCGGTAGAGCACAGCACAGCGGAAGAAGCAGCCGAGGAGAATCTCATGAACCTCATAGGCCGCAATATGCTGGAGGTTGTGGAGAGAGATGAGCTCTACAGGGTCACCAGCTGCAAGATGCATGACATTGTCCGAGACCTGGCTCTTGCTGTTGCTAAAGATGAGAAGTTCGGTTCCGCCAACGACCAGGGCGAAATGATGCACATGGATACAGAAGTTCGCCGGTTCTCAACATATGGTTGGACAGATGGCAACACAGCAGCTGCTGCGGGGGTGGAATTCCCACTACTTCGAACCATCATCTCGCTCTCCGCAGCTTCTTCCTCCACCAACATGATCTCCTCAATTCTCACTGGATCCAACTACCTCAGTGTTCTCGAGCTCCAAGACTCTGCAATCAACCAGCTGCCAGCAACCATCGGGAATCTGTTCAATCTCCGCTACATCGGCCTAAGGCGCACCAATGTTGAGTCCTTGCCGGACACTATAGGGAAGCTCTCCAACCTGGAGACACTAGACGTCAAGCAGACGAGAATACAGAAGCTACCTCCAGGAATTGTCAAGCTTGTGAAGCTGCGGCACCTCTTAGCTGACAGGTTTGCTGATGAGAAGCAGACGGAGTTCCGCTACTTCATCGGATTGGAAGCGCCTAAAATGATCTCCAAGCTGCTAGAATTGCAGACTCTTGAGACCGTCCATGCCAGCAAGGAGCTGGCACAGCAGCTGAAGAGGATGAACAAGCTGGATACTGTTTGGATTGACAACATCAATGCACACAACTGTGATGATATTTTCCATACCCTGTCAAGTATGCCCCTGCTCTCTAGCTTACTCCTCTGTGCATGTGATGAGAAGGAGGTACTTAGTTTCCAATACCTCAAGCCGACTTCCAAGAAGCTCCACAAGCTAATTGTCCGAGGCGGTTGGGCCCATGGGACACTCAACTGTCCGATATTTAGTAGCCATGGGAAGCATCTCCGGTATCTGGCTCTAAGTTGGTGTGATCTTGGGCTGGAAGACCCGCTGCAGCTGCTAGCATGTCTTGTGCCAGATCTCACTTATCTCAGTCTCAACAGGGTGAGCAGTGCAAGCACATTGGTTATATCTGAAGGGTGCTTTCCAAAGCTCAAGACGCTCGTCTTGAGGCGCATGCCTAATGTCCAGCAACTGGTGATTGAAGTGGGTGCCCTGCCGGGCATTGATGGGATCTACATCGTGTCTCTCTGGGGGCTCAGTATTGCCCCTCGCGGCATTGAATCCCTTAGATCCTTGACCAAGCTCTGGATGCTCAGTCTGCACAAGGACTTCAAGGCTAACTGGATCGCGGACAAGATGCACGGCAAGCTGCAGCACGTTCCAGAGCTCCGTACCTAGCAAGGAACGGCAGACTACCTCCATTGGTAATTTACATTATTGTCAGTGTTCATGCTTTGAGTTATTTGTAATAAGTTTTATGGTACTGTGATACTACAACAGCCCTTTTTGTTTGTTTGAGAAACTGCATCTTATCATGGATTGTTTGTTATTTGTGAGTGCAAGTCCTGAAAATTTCTGGCATTCCTTGCCATCAGGAATTTCAATGAGTTAATTAGTTTCATTATATAAGTTATCACTGCTTGGTTTTGCTTGACGTCTCGTAAAGACTGATTATATTTTTTTTTCGAGTCATATGGTGGGAACAAATCCCCACCGCTTGTTATTATACTCTCCAAAGCCGACGGGGCGCCGGGAACAGATGTTCATATAGGAGAATAGTTACATCATGAATCAGGGTGGACACGGTCCGGGCCAGTCCGGTCCCGGTCCGAGCCGGCGTTTGGACCGGCCGCCGGCGGTTTGGGCCGGACCGGACCGAGTAGCATGAGGTCCTGATTTTAGGGACCGGGCCGGCGAGGACGAAGCCCAGGCCGAACTGAGCTGACTGGCCAACGACCACCAGCGGCGACTTACACGGGTGCAGCGGCGAGGTGTACGACGTGCACAGGTGCTGTGGCGAGGTGGGTGACATGCGCGAGTGCCGGTGTCGAGGTGGGCGACGTGCCGTGGCAAGTGCGTGGGCGCCGCGGTTCTAACGTGCACATGTTTGTTGATTAGCAGTTTTTCCGTTGTATGCAAGTAATCTATCGTGTGCATGAACCCCTGATTTCTCGTGTGCGGGCCTTGCGTGATTAGCGGATCAAATGGGACGTGGAGTTAATCGTCAAACGGTAACGTGATTTTTGGATCAAACCCTGTTTCTCTCGTACTTTCAGTTTTCTGTTTTACTGAGCAAAAGGAAACGGAACCATGGGATCGCGCGTGACGTGATTATAGGAAGTTGACGCTATAAAATCTAGCACATTCCAAAACAACACTTGCTGATTTGTTGGGCGAGAAACTCACGGCCCAGCGTTTCTCCCACGATGCAAAAATCACGGCCGAGCGTTTCATGAGTGCGTGCGTGCGTGCTCTATTGAAACTGTTGCCGTGATCGAGAACTCGCGAGAACGGCGGCAGTGCACGCACGGCATCGACGGCGAGCGGCGGAAAGAGGCTATGGGGCACGAAGAGGAGAACAAGGAAGGAGGGGGCAAGCTCGGGGACACGGTGGTTCACCCAGGGGCCGCGATGATGACTGCGTTTCTCGTTTTGCTCGGTCGGCTCGCGGGTTAGAGACCGGATCGGACCGACATTTTCTCGTACCTGATTTGGCAGACCGGACCGTCCAATTTATGTAGCGGGCCAGAACCGAGCGAGCCAAGACCGAGCAGGCCAC